GGCATTGGGCAGACGGTGCCTGCCAAGGCCTGGGCTGCAGTGCTCCCAGAAGGCTGCGGCGGGCATTGGGCAGACGGTGCCTGTTGAGGCCCAGGCTGCTGCACTGGTGTCGCTGGGTAAGGCACTGAGTTCTGGTGCCCAGTGGCCCTTCGGCAGCACATCCTGTCCGCGGCTGGGCGAGGCGACCCTGGTCTCTCATATGGCTTTGGGCTGGGGCCTGGGGCCTGTTGGGGAAGAGGACATTGTCAGGAGCAGCCTGACCTGCCCCACTGCCCTGCCCGCATGTTTGCGGCGCTGTTCGGGCAGGACGCTTGCCTGGGGGAAGGTGCCCGACGACCCCAGGGCTGTTCCTGTCCAGGCTGGCCTTGTAAGACCTGGCAAGGTGTGGCAGCAGCTCCCTCAGGGTGGGGGATGCCCATGGTCCCCTCCCTCCGTTGCAGGCCTGCTCGCTTGCTAAGCTCATGGCCCCGTGTCACCCTTACCCTGGAGCTCCACAGCGCTCCGCTCTGCCTGGCTCCCGCAGATTTGGGGAGGGGTCCATTGCTCCCACCACTCCCTTGGGCTCAGTCCTTCTTGCTCTTCCCACACCCCAGCACTAAGGGCACCACGGCACTGTCCCCACAGCTGCCCAGATGGCCCCAGGCCCTTCCCACCGGCCCTGCTGCCCCGGCTGGCCCGCTGTCCCACATAGCCCAGGCACCCGCGCTCAGCCAGTCCACCCGAAATGCCCCACCCTCATGCCACCCCGGTGTGTCCAAGCAGGCTCAGGTTTGAGAAGCACCACTCCTTAGAGATGGGCAAGAAAGCACAATGACCCAAAGTCACCCCAAAGAGGGACTTCAATACTATCCCTGTGAAGGGGCCGGAAATGGTCAGGGTGGGTGGGGGTAGCAAGTCCTTGGAGAGCTGGGAACAACGGCTGTGCCGAGGACGGGCTGTGCCCGATGGACAGTGCGGCGTCAACCTAGGGCACCGGGAAGCCAGCCAGAGAGCGCCCCGCTTGTCCCACCTGAGACCACATAGGCCTGAGATGAATGTCCACAGCAATGGACAGTACACACACTGCCAGGGTCGGGTGACCCACTAAGTAAGGTACACACGGGCTGACCTGTGCTTACTAATCTGTAGTGAACAATTTCACATGGGTTTCACCACATCAAAGATGTGAAATCGTTCACTACAGACTAGTAAGCACAAATAAGCCTGTGCTTGCCTTGCTAATTGGGCCATCCACCCGTTAGGAACTGTAAAATCTGAAAAGAGACTTTGATTCTGTAGAAAGGTGCTGTGGGGTTGGGAGAGAGACAGATGCCAGCATACCTAGAAACAGTCTTTGATGTGGTAAAAAAAAAAAAAAAAAGTGAAATTCGTTCACTACAGATGATCTGGTAAGCAAGGTAAGCATCGTGCTTACCCTGCCTATTGGATAATCCACCCTGCACACTGTGGGTGAACGCAGAACTGCTGCTAAGAACAGCTGAAAGGGGAGCAGGCGACACTCACAGAGGGAGGAGGGCACAGAAGACCACCGTTCCGCACCCACCTCGCTAGCGGGCAGGAGCACCCACCGACGACTTCTTCATCACACGGCAGGAAAAGCACTGGCTCAGACAGAAATCCTGCAAACGCCCCCAAGCCTGTGATCACGCGATCAAAGTTAGCACTGCTAACTACAAGGGCGCCCAGGCCCCCGCGTGGGCTCTCGGGGGACACAGGTCCCCCGACACAACTCCTGCCCAAACGCTCAACCTGGACTCCAGCCGGAGGAAGTGACTGGACAACCCAAATGAAGTCGTCTTCAAAATGTCCACATCTGTCTTGAGCACTGTGCTCTTTCCGAGAATTATCTGTGCGCGATCAAATCCACAACAGCGACTTGAGAGACGAAGTGAGAAGCTAGGGGCAGTGAGCTTGGGTGATGAAAACGAAGAGAACGGGTGTGACCACCGTCACTAACTGTACACGTAGACACTGTTCAACTGGTGTCTGTTCTGTAGTGAATGTTTTCACCAAAAATTAAAATAAAAAGATCTATCCAGAGGAAAAGAGTCCATGTCATAAAGACAAAAAGAGGCTGGGGACTGTTGTGGAACAAGGGAGACCAATGAGACGTGACGGCTACCTGCCGTGTGTGATCCTGGGTAGGATCTCGGGTCAAAGCAACAATTATTAAAGACAGTACTGGGGCAGCTGGGGGGCATTAGCCCGGGACGTGTATTGGAAGAAGGAGTGTTATCAATGTGGAATTTCCTGGATGTGCTCACCGCCTGAGGTTACCCAGGAGAACCGCCTCCGTCCCGGGACATAAAGCCAAACCCACTGCTGTGGAGTCGATTCGGACTCATGGTGACCCCACGGGTGTCAGAGTATGCTCCACAGGGTTTTCAATGGCTGCTTTTTGGAAGCAGATTGCCAGGCATTTCTTCCGAGGTGCCTCTAGGTGCACTCAAACCTCCAACCTTAAGGTTAGCAGCCAACGGTGTTAACCGTTTGCACCACCCAGGGACACCTGTTCTTAGGAGATTCCTGCTGACGGATTGAGGGCTGAAGCGTCGTGATGTCTAGGCAAAGCGCTTCAGCGAGCGGGAGACAGGGAGAGACAGGAAGACATGTGAAAAGTTAACTGCTGAGTCAGGGTGGAGGGCAGGTGGGGCTTGTCGTGATCCTGCACATTCCCAGGGAAAAGGGGGGCTGGGACCTTCCTCCTGCCCTCAGCCACCCAGGATGGCGCAGCTGGGAAGAGGGGTGGGAGGAGAGGGGCGGGGGCAGAGGGCTGAGACCAAGCTGGCCACCCCAGGAGCAGAGCACAGAATGGCACTAAACAGGTCTATCTCCCCACAGCAGTGACGGACATGGCCCCAGCCCCTCGGTCCTTAGACTGCACGGCCTGCCCCGATGAGCCGCAGGGGAGCAGGGCTGCCAGGTCAAACCCGGTCCCTCAGGAAAATGCCAGCACTTTCGAGAAAGCGTGTGCTAGCGTTTTGCACCACGGAGCCCGGCTTGGAACAACTCTAGCAGCAACCCTGAGCTGAGGGTGAGCTGTGTCTGCGCCGTGGGCACCCAGCGTCCCGATGCTCACTCGTGGCATTTCCACGGGGCTCCTGGTGGGCAGGGCCTCCGGCACTGGGGGGCAGATGCCACTCCCACACAGGCCAGGGGGGCGCCAGCCCAACTGCGCTTCTCTGGCCCATGTCCATGACCCCACACTGCCCTGCCCTTAGGCAGGGGTACCAGCCACCCGCTGTCCCCGGAAGCCTTACCTAAACAGACCCCTCACGTCCCTGACCCTGCCTCGTGGGAGAGGAGACCTGTTCCAGCCCTCAGAGGGGCTGCGGCCTGTGTGTCCCTGGCAGCGTCTGCCCTCTGTACCTTGCTTGTCCCTCACAGGCCCCTGGGGACCTGCATGGCTAGCACCAGGGTGGAGAAGGGTGGGGTGGGACCCAGGAAGTGTCCACCCCCAGAAGCAGAGGCAGTAAAGCTGGAGGGTTAGCCAAACCCTGGTTAGGGCTGCGGATGCCACACCCAACAGGAGCAACCTCAGCCTGTCCCGCCAGCCTGAGGGCGAGTTGTCCAGAAGCCTCCCACCCCACTGTGCCCCTGGAGGCCCCAGCCCTGCCTGCCCTCCCCCAGGCCATCGGCCTGGCCGGCCAGCTCTGAGGTTGCGTCTTGCCACGGTGGAGAAGACCAGGTAAGCGAGACTGGACTACCAGGCCTGTCCAGAGAGGGGGAAGGCTAAGGTGAGTCCCACCACCAGCCACCGGAGAAGAGACGTGTACGGACTTGCCCAGGCAGGCCGGACAGAAGCTGGGGTTAGTGTCCAGGAGGGGATGGCCACCATGGCTCTGTCACCACTGTTAGTGCACCTGGAGCCTGGGCTGCATACGTACCTCACTGCAGCTCACAGAATCTTTCTTTTTTATTATCGTCAGAATCAGGGTCAAGCTCTGCTTTCAAATGAGAGAAACGCACTCAATGGCTGGCCACACGCAGGCGGCCCTGGACTCGGAGGGGTGGGCTGGCCGTGGCAGGGGCCACAGGGGACGCTGGGCAGAAACGCAGCCATGTGGCCCAGGGACCTGGCACCCAGAGGACCCCCCTGCCGCTCCCTGGCTCGAGAGCGGGAATTAGTGGGTTAAGGTGCAGCGGGTCCGCAGTGCCTCTCCCCCGCCACAGGATGCCCTGTTGCGTGCACCCTACTGCCTCCTCTCCTGCAGGACCAGGGGATGTGTCCCCGTCACCCATCTCTTGCCTGGTGCCGATCAGGTCTGCAGTGCGTGTGGGGGAGAGGCAGGACCTGACGGCCGGTGTGGGGAGGCAGGCGCCTGGCGGCACACGCCCCCAGCCCTGGTGACGCGCCCACCCGGCACCTTCTACTCTGGAAGGAAGCCCTCATACCTTCCTGACTCCTTGACGGACGCTTCTTCCTTCTCCTGCCTGTCCCCTTGGCGCTCCGGGCCCGGGTCCTTGGCAGGCTGCCGGATCCCGAGGAGTCAGTCACTGCCTCCTCGGAGAAAGACCTGTCCAGCGAGGTGTCCAGTGCAGACTCTGGGGCCACGTCCTCCTCGTCCCCTCCCCTGCTGGGGCCTACAGCGGGGCAGCGGGTGCTGGGTGTGAGGGTGTTGGCATCACCTGGCCCCTCACCGGTGCTGTCGGGCTCGGCCTGGCAGGCGCCCTGCAGAGCTGTGGGCTCTGCAATCCCTTGACCTGAATCTGTGGCACTAAGGGGCTTGTCGCTGGAGAACTTGAGGGGCTTCAGGGCCTGAGTGTCCCCCAGTGCCACCGGCAAGGGCCCTGCAGAGGGCTGTGGGCTCCGGGGATCCTCCGTGGCCAGGGAATCGCTGGCATCCATGTACCAGGAAGAACGCCGCTCCGGGGGCTCAGGACTGCCCACCTCCCCCGTGGGCTGCGGGTGAGGTGGGGTGGCGTCCACGAGGTCCCAGCCCCGGGGCTCGCCGATCACTGCAGAGGCAAGGTCCAGCTCCGAAGTGGGGCAGCTAGGGCCTCCCGTGGGTTTACTGGTGGCCGCTGTGGATGGAAGGACAAGTCAAGGGAAGGCAGGGGCCTTGCGCCGCACCTCTCCAGGCCATCCTCTGCTGCGGATGTCCCGGAGTCAGAAGTGAGGCTCTGGCTGGCTGCTGCCTAATTCTGCCAGCCCCACAGAGGCCCCTCCTCCAGAAGCCCTCCTGGTGGCTTAGTCTCGTCGGACTCCTTGGAGTTCCCTGTCTCAGGCCCTGGTGGCCTTGAGCATGCGTTCCTGCAGTGTAGGATCGGGCCTCAACATTGAGGTTTGTGCACAGCACAGGAAGGCAGGAGACACTGCAGCCAAGGAGGGGGTGGCGCCCACCCTGCCCCACGCCTGAGGCTTCTCTCTGAGCTGCTGGGTCACCCTAGAACAGCTCTCTCTTCCCTTCTGCTGCAGCACACAGCCTCCTCCGCAGACAGTCCTCTGTCCCCATGCACACGCGGCCAGCACACACAAGGCCGGCACACACGTGGCCAGAATACACGCAGCTGGCATACACGCAGTTGGCACACACAACGCTGGCGCACACAAGACTGGTGCACACACAGCCAGCACACATGCGGCCGGCACACACGCACCGCTCTCTGCTGCAGCCAGCATCTCAGGGCCAGGGATAGCAGGCGGTGTGGTCAGGGAGGGCTCCCTGGAGGAAGGGGGAGGCTCTGGGCCAGCAAGGATGGTGGTAAGAGGGTCTCACCAGGCTTCCGGTCCCTTGTGGAGTCTGCTGCAGCCTTGCCGCCCCCTTCTATGTCCGCCCGGCCGCGAACCGTCTTCCGAAGCTGGAAGCCTTTCCTGATGTCAGCCAGCAGGGCGTCGATAACGCACACCTCCTCCTGCCGCCCGGTGCCTGTCCTGACTGAGAAGACCTGAGACACTCAGGGACACCCCTCACAGGGTCCCCAGAGCCCGCCTGGTGGCCCCAAGAAGAAGGATCCCTGGAAGGGACATAGCTGACTCCGGGGCAGAACCAGGGGATGGGGCCATTGGGGGTGGTGTGAGACCTGCGGGAGGGAGGAGACGGGCCGGGAAGTCTCTGACCCCCTACCCAGTGTCTGCCTCTGCCCCTCTCAAGTCCTGCTGTACTCACTAGGCTTCCCGTCCTCGCCCCGAGGCCTCTGAGCCTCCTCCTCTGCCAGCTGCTTCTTCCTTCTCTCCGCCTTGGCCGCCTGCTCCTTCCGGTCCTTGTTCTCCTGCAAGCGGGAGGAGAGTGGGGAGGTCGGGCGGAAGCAGACAGGGAGCTTGCGTCACCCAGCCCAGTGTCCTCAGTGCTGCCACTGGGGGTGCTGGGCAGGAGGGTGGGGGCCCTTGGTACCAAGGGCAACTTTCGCCTGAGCACGGGGGCTGGGGACCCAGCTGGGACTGCTGCTGGGGGTGGGGAGCCTAAGACCCATCCTGGGAGAGGGCCCTGGGACCCGCCCCGGCCGCCCCCGGCCCCACCCACTGGCCGCGTGAGCCCACCTTCAGGGCGCGGATGAAGAGGTCTCGGAAAGTCTTCATGGTACTTAGCGTGTCCTCCAGGGACAGCTGCTGCGTGTCCTCACACAGGTAGTTGGCCAGTTCTAGCTTCTTCTGCTCGATGGCTTCAAACACCTCATCCAGAGCCCGGCAGGCCACGATGCTAGCCTGAAGGCACGGGGCAGTCACAGCCCTGTGTCGACCTTGCAATGGGCACCCCCAACTACCCAGGAGACATCAAGGCTGGATCCCCAGGGTGAGGCTCACACCCCGCTTCCCCTGCTTGCAGGAGCAAGAGCCACAGGTGGTGGCCCTGTGCCCCATCACACACAACTGGGGTGCTGTGGCCCCCCAGGATAAGGCAGAGGTCCTAAGCCACAGGAACCTCCTTCAGGGCCCCCTGGGTGCACTGCCACTCGCCCTGGCTCTGGCTAACTCCTGGGCTGACGAAAAATTGGACACTGGAGGCCCCGTCCCTGGCTCCCCTCTTCCCCACACTAGGCCCCGCCCTTCTGCTTGCCTGCAGGCGCTGGGCGTACTGCTCCTGAACCTCAGCTATGGAGGCCGACACCTTCTGCTCTGTCTCCAGAAGCTTCTTCAGGTTGGCGCTGGCCTCCGAGCGGATGATCTCAAGGTTGATCCTGGAAGGCAGCAGCAGGCGGGTGGGATCAGGAAGCAGGAACGTCCAGGCTGGCAGGGACGGCCAGGTACCCCTTACTCCTCACACCCATAGAAGGCCCGGGGACCCTCCGAGCACATAACCACTGGCTTCCAGAAACTGCATCAGAGACCCCATGGCGTGAAAGGGCATTGAATGCCTCACAGTGGGTGCTGTCAATCAGTGTTAGAATGGTGATCCCAAAGGCCCGGCACCGCTCCTGCTTGGCCCTCCCGAGGCTCTGTGGCCCATGCCCCCATGCATGGCGCCCGGGAGGTGTTGGTGCTGGGGCTCAGACGGGCCTGGGCCCCCCGGAGCTGCCCCTTCAGGGCCGTGCGATCCTAGGAACGTGACCCACTTCTCTGGCCCTAGTTTTCTGTCTGTAAAACGGCCTGCTTCCTTGCAGATCGCCACGAGGACTGAGGCTGTGAAGAGGGTGGGTCAGGCTGGCTCCCAGTGCGCCCACCTGTCTCCCGGCGCGCTAAGTCTCCCCAAGGTCTATCCCACAGGGAACATGCAGGGGCTCCGTGGGCCTGGGTTGGGCTGCAGCCCTGAGACTCAGCCTGGCCGCCCCTCACCGGCCTGGGGAGCCGAGGAGGCAGGGCTGTTGGGGCTGGTCCAGCGCCTACCCTGCTGCCTGGGCGACCTGCTCCAGGTCCTGGGGCAGCTGCAGGAGATCCGGGTGGCTCCGCTCCACCTCCTAGAACAACGTCTCCATTGAGGCTTCACCAGCCCTGGGGGTGCCTGAGCTCGCCCTCATCTACCCTGTGGGCCTCAAACTCCTTCTCTGGGATCTGCCCATGACGTCCTGACTTTTCTTAGCGTCTGACTCCACCCGCCTGGAGCTGATAGCAGAACCAAGTGTCCTGGGAGAGTGGGCAGAGCCGAGTGGGCGCTGCGGAGAGACCGCAGGCACACGGCAGAGTCCTGGGCGGGGAGACGGAGTGCGGCCGGGGTGGAGGGGGCCCGCGAAGGAAGGCAGGGACAGGCAGAGGAGGGTTTATCAGGGAGGTCTCGGGGCCGCGGAGGGTCCTTCAGGGGTGCCCTCCAGGGTGGAGTCCTGCTGTGCGGGTCTCCCGCTCCGTCCACCTCCAGTACCTAGTGTAACAGCCTCCCCCCAAGCCCTGCCCACCATGCCAGGCCCCGCCCACCTCCAGTACCTGGTGCAGCAGCCTGCCAAGCCCCGCCCACCTCCAGTACCTGGTGCAGCAGCCTGCCCCGCCCCGCTCACCGCGCCCGGCCCCGCCCACCTCCAGTACCTGGTGCAGCAGCATGCCTGGCCCCGCCCACCTCCAGTACCTGTTGCAGCAGCCTTCCCAGCCTCGCCCACCGTGCCCGGCCCCGCCCACCTCC